AATGAGTCACAAAGGTTAACCTAGACTATTATGTCAATATTAATGCCTAGCCTAGAAACACGGGCATTACACTGAAGGACAAGATACCCGGGGTGGTCCACATAGACTGAAGGCCTACGAGGCGGTCCAGTCAGGCATAAGGCCCGAAGAGCGGTCCAGATAGACTATTGGCCCTGTAAGGCGGTCCAGTCAGGTTGAAGGCTCATATATGCATGTTGTTATCTGTACCAGTTATGTGTGGTACTTTGGGGGAACTCACTAAGCTTTGGCTTACAGTTTAAGTTTTATGTTTCAGGTACTTCAGATGATCGGGGAAAAGCAAAGGCGTGATCGTGCACATCCTTCTGATTTTGTGATATTTGATTTTGGGATACTATGATTCGTGTTTATTACTTTGGGAACTGTATTTTGTTAACAATTATGGTTTTTGGTTGGATTTTAAAAATGAAAATTTTTACCTTGATTTTTGCGATATTACAAATCTTTTTCATTGTAGTATTGAAAAGATGTTCGATTGATGCCTTACAATCCTTCCAAACCAATGCCTCATATTGAGCACCAGGAAATTTCTTCTTGAATTTGGACAGAACATGCCTGGCACATTGCCTATGTTCTATGTCTAGGAATAAATCCTTCACTGCTTCAATTAACCCCTGCATTTAGATCATAAGGAAATTTAGAACATGATCATAATTGAAACACCTAAATCATAGCATAATGAACACAAACATATCTTATGTTGATCTGAAATCAATGTCCTACCATACCAAGATTAAAGATGCAGATCTTTTTTGCAGATTTTCTAGAAACCATTTCTAATTGTCTTTATTTTCCGCACATACCACAACCCAAGCTTTTGGGTAGATATGATTGTTTCCATCCCTCCCAACAGTACATAATAACAGACCATTACACATTCCTTTTAAAAAACACCCATCTAAGTTTATAATCCCTCTACAACCACTTCTCCAACCCTACTTTAGAGAATCAACCCATTTGGCATAGCGTTCACAGACAACTTGACTGTTAACCGTGGATTAGACCTTCTTATCTCCTCACTATAGAACCACAACTTTGCATAATTTTCCACTATGGTACCTTTAACAAGATACACAACATGTTGCTTAGCTCTCCTACATTGTCCCATACTAACCTGAATGCAAAATTTAGTCTTTACTTCCTTATTTAGCATCCTAACATTGAGTTTCTCATTCTCAATAACTTCCTGGTGAAATGACTACCGATTCATCTATAATTAACAATTGACCCTAACTTAAATTTCCTGGAACAATTATGCTCATTGATAAGGGACTTGATTTGGAATGAGTGTTCTTCACTCATCCATGAAGCCCAGAGCCTAAATGTGCATTCACCATCACAACACTTAACCAATAACCTTTTACTGTCATTTTTTACATAGTACAATTGATACCCACTGTCTACAACATAATTACAAAGCATGAATTTCAATTGTTTAGGGTTTGTAAACCTCATACCTAGAATTGACAACTGCTTAGTTCAAGGTATGTCTTCATTGAACATTGGTTGTCCTTTCATATATGGGATATTGTCATCTTCATCCTCTTGTGGGTTGCCATCTTCTTTGGCATCCTCATTTCCATTTTCCTGACTTAGGTCCTGCTTGATTTGTTGATGACTCGGTCAGGTCAGACCTATTTGGTTGACTCGGTCAGCTCATTGCGTTTGATACCCAGATATGTTGCATCTTACTCGGTCATGAAGGTCTTACCCAGTTATCCAAAAAAAAGTCGTTGACGGAAACATAAAGACTTGTTCCCTAGTTTGCCATTCTCCTTCTTAGTTCTCACGCGTTCCTTCATCTTGCCTACCTCCAACTTTTGCAAAGAAAAACAAATATCAACACCACTTTTGCCTTCTCACACTGACACCTTCGTCGTCCACGTCCAGCGCCGTAGTACCCACCGACACCGCCTCCTCCTCCTTCCCTACATCTGTCGGTATGTCTCTCGCTCTCTCAATCGATTTGCGATTGTTCTTTACTTTGGGATTATCGCTCTGATTCACGCCATGTGATTGTTCTTTAATTTGGGGAATTCCCATTTAAAAAGATAATGGTTAATCTGATGAATTATCTTTTTATAACTCTTTTAGTTTATTTTTGTTCTGTTGGAGTTTTTGGATAATGAAGTTAGAGGGGAATAAGAATTTGAAGGTTAATGCTTTCAGTTCGGTGGGATCTTTACAGTGACAGATTGAATAAAGTTTTTTGGTTACTGATTCAGATTTTTTTTTATGAGAAAAGGGCAATATGGTCTTTTTTTATTAATTTCAAGATTAGCAAGCCAGTTCTATTGGTTCTCAATTGGTTTTTCTGGATCAAGAAATTCAAAATTAGTAGATTCTTGAAGATATGGATGAGAGGATCTGTTTTTTACAAGAGTTGGAGTTATACGGTTTTGTCTAAAGGGCAATACGATCTTTTTCTTTTCAATTTTAAGAAAAGCAAGATTTTTCAAAGTTCTATGCTCATGGAATGGTCTGGAATAAAAATGAAGCAATGGCATTTTGATCAAAGTGTTATTCTTATGTTTACTGTTGCTCTGTATCAAATTTGGTCAATAAATGAATTGTTTGAATTGCTTAAAAACAATGAATTTATTAATAACTTTATAAAAACAATGATTCCTTTATAACTTTTATTTGGATTTTTAAAGGATTTGTGTGTAATTTACATCATTGTATAGAGCAGCAGGGTAAAATGTTTATTTTTCATTAGTCAGCAATTTCAGTCAGATGTACAATCAAACAACATGGTTTCTTACCCAACCATGATTTCTTATCCAGACAGACATTTCCCAGTCAGCACTTTCTCAATCAGCTACTATCAAACGGGACCTTACTCCTTCCTATATTTCTCCTTCCATGTTGCTCTGTTGTGGACTCATGAACTCAGTTTGGTCAATACCATCTTCCCTTTCCATTGACATGTTTGACATAACATAGTCCTCAATTTCATTTTCCTTAATTACATGCTAAGTAGTACCAAAATGGTCCATGTAAACAGGCAGTTGTACTCCACACTGATAAGCAATGTCTATAAACTCTTGATATCAAAGTTCATTAGAAATCAAGGTTAAACCTTATGGGATTTTTAAATCAGGTTGACAATAATAAAGCTTCTCACACTTCCCTTGTGTGAATCGTTCAAGAAAATCTACAAATTCAGTATAAGACATACCAGTAAAATCGATATTCTCGAACACATGATGAACACCATCAGAGTAGCAAAAAGGTTTGTTGATGAACACACCTTGTAAATGAACCTTGATTGAGACGAATATAGCCATCGACACACGACGGGAACTTTGTTGGGAGGTAAGGGTTTTTCGTGAATGAAGACGACGGGAGTGAAGAACGACAAACGAAATAGGCTTATTTAAAACAATTCAAGCAAAAGGGAAGTACACATGGCCATTTCATTAAATGACGTGGCACCAACATTTCTTCTGTGGCATGTATATTACCTTTGAACCCAGTATCAGGTCACATAAGAATATTTTAAAACAGGAAAATGTAAGTTTATTCCTTAATGTACAAAAAAAAGTTAGATGGTCTTTTAAAACAAACGTGACAAGTTCGATGGGCTAATATCACATTTTCTTTTCTTTTATTAAGTATGGAGATATGCTATTGATGTGACGTCTCAAGGTCGTATTTTTAAAGTGCAAATATGTTTACCATATTATCCGCATCGCTTTCAGCATGATATTCGACATTTGACACGGGCCAAAGTATTTAGGCCGGATAGGATCAGACAAAAATTGGTTTGTTGGTGAACTGTTTTCAGATTCAGATCGGATTAGGGGGGCGATCTGATTTTCATGTGCACTTCTCAACCACGAATTCAGAAGCATTTTCTTTTTTAGTTGTTTCTCCTCCAAAATAACTAAACTACAAGGTAAAAAACTTTTTTTAACAATATAATTGACATACTTGTCATAAGTTTTATTTCAATGATTAGAAATCGAAAAGAAATCATCCAAATTTCTAACAAGGCTGATCCTAGATCATACTTATTCTTCATATTAAAATGTTGATTGTTCCATCATAAAAAAATATTGACCCGATGGCCCACCTTCAGGGAGCAAAGCGAGTCGGACAGGGCCTCTAGCACCTTCTTCAACGGTGTAAGTTCCTTGAAAAGAAGTAAAAGCCGTGGCAAGAAAACCAGGAGTAATCGCATTTGCAGAAATCGATGGAAATTTCTTAGCTAAAATCCTGGTGTATGCATTAAGAGCAGCTTTCGAGATGACATAGGCGGAAACATTAATAGTCCACCCTTTCTTTTCCAACAATTTCTGATCTTTTGCATCCTCAAAATATCCACTCACAACTTCATCCACCACCTCCTCCGTCAGTCCATCTACATCACTCAAAATCTTCCTTACGCTTTCGTCTTGAACATGCTGTAACAACACAAGAAGCATAACCATATAAAATGATTAATTGTAAATTAAACAAGAATATATGCATGCTTACTTGTAGTTGCCCCATTTTGGATGAGATGTTGACTATTCTTGGAGATGTAGATTTAAGAAGAAGTTTTAGCAAGGCTTGAGTCACATGCTTAGCTCCATAATAATTGGTTTCCAAGCATTTCTTGGCTTCTTCAAATGTTTGTGTTTCGACTTTCTGTGATGGCTTATCCTTTTCATAAGCCTTTAAACCAACTTCCTACAATATCACAGTTAAAGATCGATCGGTAGTTATTTCATAGATAAACTTTTATCAGCATCAATTGAGTTACGAAAATTAACCAAAACATGATTAACAGAACAATGCTTCATTACCTTAAGTAAAAGGTTTAAACCCCCAAAGTACTCCTCGTCGGCGTTACTACTAATCACTCCAGCATTGTTAACCTGTTTTATCCCTCAAATCAATGGGTAATTCTCAAATTGGTTCAATTTTGATCATTTAAAGTGTTAAATTTTGTTACAAATGTAACGCCAGATGTTAATCTGCAGCAAAAAGCGAGGGTTGAGAATCGTTACCAATATGTCAAGTTTTCCGAACCGAGTTTCAATGAAATTCGCCAAGGAAGCAATACTGGCCGGATCTGTGACATCGAGCTGATGAAAGACGACGTCGGGTAGACCGGAGTACTGCAATTTGGCGACGGCGTTGGTGCCCTTCTTCTCGTCTCTTGCAGTCAACACCACCAAAACTTCATTAGCCAATTGCCTGCATATTTCTAAACCAAGGCCTTGGTTTCCACCGGTAACAACAGCAATCCTAAACAGTCAACAACAGAAATATCAAACACATTGAAAAACAAAATTCTCACATTTGATTTTTTTTTTTTTTAACACTCTCTAGTCTCTACCCTTCTATCATTTTAATTTACAGAAAATTAAATACTCATACTTTTTTTGTCCGTTTTTAATTTAGGAGATCACATACTTGCCTACTTAGTCATCTAGGTTTTATTTTTTCACCGTCCTTTCTCAGAAAATTTTATAAACTTTTTTAATAATCTTTATGTTTGACAAAATCGTGTAGACTTTTTGTAATCTTTATGTTTGAAAAACTCGTACAATCTCAGAATTTCTTTTTAAAAAAATTTATTAAACTTTTTTAATAAAATTATATTTGTACAATGGTCTTCATGAAAAAGTTATAGAAATAGTCCATATAAAATTGTCTTAAAGCCTTTATGATTAAGAAAATTACAGGAAAAAAATTACAAAAATGTCCATGTAAAAGTTATGTTTTATTTAATGATTTTTATGTTTGAGGAAATTATAGAAATGATCCTTATAAAATTATCTAATTGTCCCTACGTTTTAAACATACAGTTACAAAAATAATTGTCCCGACGTTTTAAACATACAGTTACAAAAATAGTCTAAAACAGTATCAATGTAAGGCAAAGTTACAAAAATAATCCCTATATAATACTGAAATTGTAGAAAATGTCCCTGTAATTGCAAAATTACAGCGATACCGGAATTAATTGTTTGTCAAATATGATGTTAAGTTTTAATAATAACTTAAAATATCAAATATGTATCTCCAAATATTATTTTTCAAAATAGTTAAGCCACGCTGATTAAAAAGTTGGTGACCTAGTTGACGTTTGTATAGCCGAGTTAATCTTTTTCTTTCGTTAACTTATTATATACTTTAGACAAAATTGCAAAAATGGTCCTTGTGGTATGCATTTTTTTGAGGTTTTAGTCCAAACCCCGACTTTTTTGGATTGGTGGTCCTTTTGGACTAGTTTGTATGTAAAAATGGTCCCTGTGAAATTTGAAATGACTAAATTGCCCTCTTGATATATTTTTTTATATTTTTTCTATTTAATTTAATGTTTTATTAATAATAAAATGGGCCTCTCTCTCTCTCT